TGGTCGAAACTCAGCAACGGCTTCGATTCCTGGCCAGTCGGGTATATCGGAGAGTGCTACTGTCCACTGTTTCTCCTTTGTTAGATCTATGAGTTCTTTGCACCTTGAGGTCTTGAATTCTCTCCTGATTAAGGTCTTCATTTCGTGGAAAGACATCGGCTGGTCTATGGCTTGCAAAATTGTTGTCCCCTTCTTAGAAAGTGCGTCAGCAAGCTCATTACCTTTACTGTCACAGAGACCAGGAATCCATTGAAGAACTGCTGTTTTGTTTTTTTCTCTCAGCAGCTGATAGAGTTTTTTATATTCTTATATCTCAACTGCTTTGGGTGACTCTCTGTTTCCAATTGAGTTTATTGCTGACTTGGAGTCCGAAAGAATAACTGCTTTGGTGAATTTCGTATCCAGGCAGCACAATTGGCCTAGTACTATCTTAATGGCCTCTATTTCTCCTTCGAAAACGGACCTATTTTGTCCCGCTGCTGCGTAGAAAGGGAAAAGTTCAGAGTAGACACCTGCACCAACGTTTGTTTGATTTTCTGTGTAATACCAATCAGTGAAGACTTGGAGCCACTGATCTGCAGGATATTACTAGCTAAGAAGTAAAATAAACGATATATGGGGGGTAATAGCGAAACCCCAATCAAAATAAGCGTTATGGGATTGTAGTGGTCGTCCATTGAGGCTGAATGCTGGTTTCTGGCTTCACATCTTATCCTAGAGTGGTGAGGTGGTGTTTCTACACATATCTCTTACACTTTTTCGCCCCTTCGCCTCAGCATCCCTCTGTTGACAGATCATTAAGTTAATAGCCAGACTAAGTGTCTCTCCATTTATTTTCTTACCACTTTCACCATTTAAAGCACTTAGCCAGCAACTCCACGATCCAATGTGGGAGCACTTACCAGGAAGTGGACAAATCTAGGTGCAGATTAGATCAATGGAAGTGAGGTGCATTGGATCACAGTTCCATGCTACTTTTAATGGGAGTGACCTATGCGGCAAGATGGCAACCTCCTCGCATATTTATATAATTTAATTCCTCGTTGTTCACCTCTGCTTTTTTTAACTTAAAAGTCCGACTTGGAAATAAAACACTTAAACATTTTCATTTCAGACTTTTACCAAATGAATATGCTTGAAAATGGCGCTTTATTTTCCATTTTACTATGATTCTCCGGAAAGAGAGAAAATTATGGATCTCACATATGCTTGGTAAATGTTTCAATGACCTTAATTTATCGTAGCCTAACGTGTCCTGGTGATACCAAATCAGTAATTGCTCCAACCCGTGATCGATGCTCTTGTCTGCTACGATGCGGTCTCATTTTGATACCACACATCAATTCGCCGGAAAATCATGTCAAACATATGCGACCTTGACAAGGTAGCATATTTATTTATTTCAAATGGCAGGCATTTTTGATAATTATCACTAGCCCTTTAGTTGACTTCGGGCTTCACGGGTGGGAAGACCGTCAAAGTGGGAAAAATTGGAGTGGGGAAACAGAAGAGTGATTCACGGATATAAGAGAGATACAGACATAAAGGTAGAGAAAAAGGTAAGGTAAGATGAGTACCGTGAAAGTGGTGGAATGTGACATAGAGTGGGATCATGGTAATTTAAAGTGAGGAATCGATTGCCGGTTTGCAGAATTTTTTTGTCGTATGAGTATACGCTGCCCAGGGTGCACCACGTGGAGGTAAGTCTATCGCACACTCAACAAGGTAACGTATTTATTTATTTATATCAAATGACAGGGGGGTGTGCGATAGACTTACCTCCACGTGGTGCACCCTGGGCAACGTATACTCATACGGCAAAAAGTCTATTAAATGGCAGTTGACTCCTGACTTCAAACTCTCATGGCCTGCCGCAAGTCATATTCGATCCCTTCCACAGTACTCACCTTTACTTTTTCTCTACCTTTGTGTCTGTCTATCTCTTTTAAATCTGTGAATCGCTCTTCTGTTCCCCACCCCTCGACTTTCTGCTACTTTGATGAACCTTCCCTCTGTGAAGCCCGAAGTCAGCTAAATGGCTAATGATAGTTATCAAAACGCCTGCCATTTGAAATAAATAAATATCAAATGACAGGCGTACTTAAGGTTATCATTAGCAATTTAATTGACTTTACGCTTCACAGAGGGGAGGGAACATCAAGGTGAAAGTGTGATAGACTTACCTCCACGTGGTGCACCCTGGGCAACGTATACTCATACGACAAAAAAGTTTGTTAACCAACACTCCGCTGTATGTCATATTCGAAAAGGTAACATATATATTGATGGAAAATGAAAATCGGGAATATGTTTTGAAAAGAGGCATTTTACTTATACTGAGCAAGAATTGGTGCCATGTTGGAGCTTAGTTTTAACTGCAATAGAATGCCAATTGCACTTGATTTTCAAGGGCGTTTTTCCTAAATTTGTTAAGGTGCTACCAGCGGCAAAAGAAAGTATACAGATGAATATATTCAATCAAAAAAAGGCACCGACTTCATCTTTTGAATTTCACAGCTATTTACTGATAGTAGACTGATAAACAAGCCTAAAATATCTACTTAAAACTATATTATTTCAATTTTACTCAATTCTTTGTCATAATTTAAGTAGAACTATTCGGAGGATACACCAATGTTAGAATTTGTACCTTTTTATCTTTAAAGATCCCAAATACAATAACTGGGAAGCAGGACCAATATTCGTGAATGCCTATTAGCCTGAAATTGTTTTGGGAATTATCTTATTTAATCTCTATTACTTTAGGACTGAAATTGCTTGATAACTCGTAAGATCCAATTGACAATTTCCGGCAAGACCGGCTCTTCTAGTTTAAACAACCGGTTTCCAAACTCTGAACATTGTTTTGAAATGAAATATACATCGCAAACCACTAATATTAATAAATATGATATTACCCCCAAACTGAAAGTCATTTGGCGTTCTGACAGCGCCCTTAATGTCTTCTTATTCTTGAAATTTGCTTATTAGCCTTCATTAACTACGAGCTAACTTGATTCCATATTATGTGCGCTTTGCTATTCTTAAATAGTAATCAATGATATCATTTATATCATCATAAGAAGATACAATTTCTCGTTTCACCATCTTCCTTATGCCTAAGCTATCCAGTATGAGGACTTAATTCCAAAGTGCCAGATTGGATGAGGGCTAAGTTATAATAATCACTATTTGGGAAGGAAATTCTGCTCAGACATCGAAAATACTCAGCTCTATTCCTGTGCAACGAGTGTAATTTTCCACGTATTTTGATAATAAGGCCTGTTTCATTCCTGCATTCTCTGCCGTTATAACGTCAAGCACCACCGTTCCTCTAATCTTTTGTAGTCGTAATACCACAGCAAAATAAAATACGATTTATTGTATTTTATGCTAACAAAATATTAATAACAAATATTAGCCTATTTGGAGAGGTCACTTCGAAAATGAACTTTTACGGTCAAAGTACACTAGCACTTCTTATAAAATACTTTCAGGCTCTATTCTAAAGGAAATATTGTACCATTTACTCTGCTAGAAATAATATTAATTAAGTACACTAAGCAAGCATACTCTTTTGAAACTTCGTTTCTTCATACGTCAGAAAGAAAATAAACTAAAAAATCTAAATAAAAATGTAAAAATCAAATAATTGATGAATTTCTGTTCAGCTCTTCGGAGACTCTTGATCAGAACAGACGGCGCATAACTTCTGATATTGTGATATGAGGAATTTTAACCAATGAATTGAGGATTTTTGGCTTGCACACTAATCAGTCCCCAAAATGCCATTTTGATAGAAACGACTTCCTCGACTTAATATAATTTATGCGTCTGTGAAGTGTATCAGCAGAAAAAAAACATCCGTCTAGTCTATCAACTTGCCTTTTTAGACATATAATTTTCGATACACAAGTGATCAATTCGAGACAAATAAATCTAGAATTGGCCCAAACAGTGGTATCATATTACGTGTAAATTAAACTGACTGAGTAATGTTTACAAAAGGGGTTTTATAAAAATAGCAAAATATTCTTTCATAGGGACAATAACAACTATTTTTCCTCTGATAATAATGGTACTGAATAGAAATAAGTAACAAATGAATTGAATGGAACATGCCGATACTTAAGGAATTCTCATCCAAAAGGCTTAAAGCACTAACTAGTCTTATCATCATAAATATCCCATTTAGTTTCCATTTTATAAAGGGTAAAAGAATATACAGAGGTATTCAAGTTGGATAATAATCAGTGAACCAGTTAAAACTAATCAGAGGGAGCACAAAGCATTCAATCAAGCACCTCAAATAGAATTCGAATGTTCGCAGTATTTCTAACAGTAGCTATTGAGATTTCTAAAACCTACACCTCAGGATGCCATGTTGTCTACTCCAAGCAAAACCAGAGTCCACGGACGCACGAATAATTGAATAAATGAGATGAAAAACCAAAAGGACGCGATTGTTCCACAGTTTTAAAGGACAAAAAAATGAAATACTTGAAAAACAGACTCCGTGTTCAAAAAATCAAGATGATTCGATACATTTTTCCACATCGACAGCCAGCCAGAATGCTCTAATCTGAACCCAAAACAAACCAAATAATTCGATTGTTCGCACAAAAAAATGCCAAAATCATGAAAATAAGTGGATAATATAATGGGTAAAAAGCAGATACACTTCTCAAATAATGGTATCAAACGATGCTGAAGGAAAAAATTCGAATCGTAAAAGGCAAAAGAGAATAAATCGATTGTAAAAATAGAGCTATTAGATGAATTTACAAACTGTTTATACCAAATCTAAGATAGTACAAACCATTTACGAAAACAAAAGCAGCAATATATAGACTCAAGAATTAAAAAAAACGTTCGTAAACTATAATGAAAAAAAGCTACGAAACTACTACTCAATAGAGTTAAAAAGAAGGGGTTGAAGACTTTATACAAATATTTATGTACACATACAAGCAAATTTACAGAGAAATTGAAAGCGTCTTTTATTTATCTACTTCTTCATTTTCCCTTCCTATATCATCTTCTCCAATTTCCCCTTCGTCTTCTTCGGCAACACCAGAAGAAGCGATCTGAGAAGCTTTTTTGATGCCATCGGGAAAACACGAAGCTACTTTTTCAAGAATCTCATCAATTTGAGCCAACGTAAACCGCGTATCGAGATCATTTATCATCTAAAAACGCGACGACATGACTAAAACATTCCGAAATTAAGGATAAAAATAAATTTATAAAGTCCTCAAACTTACAATTGAAAGTTCAACCTGAGTGGCAGGACAATTATTTATCAGCGCTAGTATTTCTGACTTGTTAAGATTAAAAGGCTTCATTTTGGCAATGAATTGTTGAATAGATTCAGATGTCTGGCAAGTACATGGAGATTTTTCATTAAAATATTTCAATCCAGTAAAAAATAAGGTTTGTTGGCAACGAAGCTTATCCTTGGATCCAGCGCGATTTTTTATGAAGTCATACACTTCAAAATTTGACAGAAGTTTGGCATTGGTAAAATCAACATCCAAAGCTACTGTACACGATTTTCCATTATCCAACGAATCCATGACTAATTAAAAAATAATAAAAGGGCAGACTTAAAAATATAAACAAACGATGTAAAAGTACAAAGGGTAAAAAATGTAGTAGGATAGTTTACTTACAAAGACAAACCTCGGATCACAAACCATCAACGAAAAGGCCAAACCTTTGGCAGGGGCCACACTGACAGCTAATGCAAACAAAATATTGAAAATTAATTAAAAATATGAAAAATAGTAAATAATGCATTTTTTCACATCATTAAGTTATGTGAAAATTATAAATAATTTAATCAACTGAACAAAATTTTAATCAATTGAAAGCTTTATGATCTTTTTCGAACTATAGAAAGTAAGCAAAATCTGCGTTTTTTTACTAAAATAAATTAAAATGACAGAGCAGGAAATTAACGTATATATTAAGCTAGGTTTTGAGCAGTTGTTATTTGTAGCAGTATATGTATCCAAATTTGTCTCGCCTTTATGTCGCATCTTATAGATAAAGATACGAAAGTGAATTTAAAATTTCATTAAAACTGATAAAACCTTCTGTGCAAAATATGACATTATTAAGTTAGGGAAAACACAACCCTTATTGCGATAGTTTCTTATTCTGCTACTAAAATTAATTTACTTTATTTCAGATTGCATGAGGTATTTTCCAGTTAGGATTGAATTGTATTTAGCCATATTACTCACCTGTTTGGCATTACTATAACAGAGTTAATTTTGTTTTAACTACTTCCCATAACCTAACTTAAAAAAGATGGCTGACCGTATGTTTGTGATACGTGAATTTCACGCCTTTTATTATTTTAATATTTGTAGATTTTTTCATAATTAATAGATTATTTACTTTTACTATTTTTATTTCTTTGTGTAAAATTACGAATTTTTCACCGTGATACGTGCTTTGCTGAAATGGTACATTTTATTCGTTTAGAATACCAATATGGTGGCATTCCCCAACCAGGCCAGAATCCTTCTTATACACAATTTTCTCAGTATCCAAATGCTGGTGGTGACCAGGGTGCCCAATTTATTCCAAATTATGCTCTTCCTCAAGGCAATCCCCAAGCTGCTGTTTTTGGTCAACCGCCTTTCAATCCAAATCCATATCCGCAGACAGGTGCCGCAATGACAGTTCCACAATTAGGTGGCCAGATAAATCCAGCTCAACTTGCTGGTGCCGGGTTTTCTTATGGCGATTATTCCCACTTTAATCCCTACAGTCAAAATGCTGGTCTTCAACCTCATATGAATGGTAACTTCAATGAAATCCATGTTAGTTTTTTTTGCTTGATTAGACATGCAGCAGTTTAGCCAATTACTTCCGAGTCTTAATCAATCGGCTGTTCGAAATATGTATGAAGCGCTTGCTCAGGATAGAGCTTTATCCGGTTTTAACACTGGTGCATATGTCCAAGATTCTCCAAATGTTGGAGGATTTTCCAATAAGGCATTCAGTGGACAGTATGCTAATTATCTTTTTTTACTCAGAAATATAATTGCCACTGATTCAATAATGTTTCTGCTAATTTTAGTCAACGGGGGATGAATAATTTTGAAAACGGTAATCGCTCTAGTAATTTGCCCAGTGTGACTAATCGTAGGGTTTCATTTTTTATATCAATTTGCCTCATTTAGCTGATGGACTTCGCGAAGATACTGTATTTGTCAGTAAGTTACCTCAAAATATTGACCACGAAACCATGAAGGCTCAATTTGGAACAGTCGGTAAAATTAAGGTACTTTAACTATTTTTGTTATTCTAACCGTCTCTTAGATGAATGTTAAAAGTGGAATGCCAATGATATGGATTTTTAAGGAAAGAGGTATTCCCAAAGGTGATGCTTTGGTCACGTATGAAGATCCTCTTTGTGTTCAAAAGGCAATCAAATACTTTTCTGGTTTGACTCTTCAAGTTTTTTTATTAATTTACTTAGAAAATGATTTTATGGGGAAAAAAATTGAGGTTAAGCAGGCGAAAAACAGTCAAAGACCTGTGATTATTCCAAGTAGTGGTCAACAAAATTCTACTGCCCAGGGAAATGGGAGGAATAGTAATGGTAAACCTTTTTTGTCGATATATTAATATTTCTTTGTTAGATATGTCTTCATTTTGTGGTAATCAGTCAATGGATATGTACGGGGTGCAGTTCAATTCTAGGAATGATGTTGCCTCAATGTCAGGTGCTAGAAATCCTGGACAAATGAGATCAATTGGAGGTATGACTTGTGTTATTTGAATCATTTGGTTAATCTATGTCAATAATGCTATTGTTTAAACTTTGCAGGCCGTGATCAATGCAATCCTTGTGGGGTAAGTATGCGTTGTCACAAACATCGGAACTTTTCAATTTGTTTGTTCACTTATTTTCATCTTCCTCGTCCGGATTGTGGTTGCCTCGTGAATGTGCTGTTATGTTTTTATTTCGTACATGGTATCACGCTTTTTACTTGTTTTTTGTACATTCACCTCCCGAGCCTGTGAGCATGTTAGTCTCTCTAAAAAATAAAACGTGTACATTCACATTGTAGGCACCACGTCCGGACGACGGTATGATGGCTGGCGGTGGCATGATGATGATGCCGGGGGCTGGTGGTCCACCACAATCTCAACGTGGTGTCATGCTTCCACAGGCTTCTCATCCGCAGATGATGGGAAATGGTGGTTCGATAATGCCACCGGGACCCCGCGGTCCACCACCTCTTAGAATGGGCGCTGCCCCACAACAGAGGGGATCTATGCCACCACCTATGCGTGGCGGTGTCCTTGGTCGTGGAATAGTTGGTGGGCCCATGCGTGGCAGTTCAATTAATGCTGGGCGTAACATGCGTACCAATCCATACTAAATTATAAATTTATAGCATTTAGTAATCGATTTTGGCGCGTGTGTGCTTTTCTTGCACCTCTTTTACTCTTCCTCTTTCCCCATCTTTATAACCCTTATCTTGTTGTGCGTCCGTAAATTTTTTATTAATAATCCCATAAAACTTAAATGGCAATATTTAAGCATGGTTTGTTTTTCCCCTTTGCCCTCCCCTTTCAATTAGGGTTGGTTTAAATTCTGTGTTTTATTTTAAGAAAGATGATAACTTAAGCAGTTAAAGTTATACTATGCGTTAAAGAACATTTTGGTGCTTGATGTGTAGTTTAGTTGTTATGATTTTTAATTTTTTTATTTTGCCCCTGGATCGTACCCTTTAACTTTTTGTATATCGTTTTGACGTGACGTTCGAATATATTTTTTTACGTTCGCTAACCCTTTTTTTATTTTGGTCGGTTTTACAGTTGTCTAATCTTTATATCGGCTTATCTCAGAATGTTTTGCTAACTTGCATTAATTTTTTGTGGCAACTATCATCTAGGTAATTTTTGCTCAGCATTGACATTTATGTCCATGTATGTTTTTATCTTACCTAATTATTCACAAATTAAATGTGGGCTGTGTTTATCTATACCTTTAAAATTGAGTAATTATGATGTAATCTCATTATGTCAACTTTCTAAGGTCGGTTTTCCGATTGTGCTTTCTGATGATACTTTGCTTAATTCTGATCTAAAAAAATGCGTCCACTAATGTATTCGATAAATTTGACGTCTTCTCAATTGGTGTGTGTACGGTATTTTACCACTAGATTACTGTGGGTTTCAGAATGCCACTTGATTATTGTCCTACTGTTAGAGAAAGTTGTTCTTTGTGGCTAAATGCTATGAGCGTTTAAAACCTGAGGCTGCATGTTCTCGTATTTTTTTGGCGAAAATGGAAATTTGTTAAAAATTTTCTTCTTTTAGTGCCAAAAGCCTATCGCAAACCCAGCAGCCGAGGTCCACGTTTGCAGCAGCACCTAATGATTGCTTCACAGTGCCCTGTACAACAGCTTAAAAATATTTTTGCTAATATAATTGTGATGGATTTTATACTTCAATGGTTTATTATATGGTGAAGTTAAAGACGGAAGGTTTATGTACAGGGAAGTAAGAGGACCTAGTTCACCGGTGTCTTCTCTTCTTTTTTGCGCTTGGACCGGTAGAGTAGATTTTGGGATCGTTTTCACTAGTTCTGTCTTCGAAATGCTGAGTCGTGCTGTAGACATCATTTGTCAATGGATTTTCACCTGAAACCAAGAGGTGCTTAAAGCGGGAATGCTACGTAAATAAGCCATCTAAGTAGGTGCTTACGCTGGTCTTGGTCGTAATTATTTCGTATACTAGAGCCATTTCCATTATAAAGTGTACACGTGACCGAGGAGTGGGAGAAGATACGATCACATTCACGGTATCTACGAGGGCGCTTCTCGCCATGTCCATTTGCTGCAGTCACAGCACTGAGTGCACTTCCGGTGGCAGTTACCAAATTTCGATCCCATCCCTTGATGATGTTACCATAAGGCGCCGTTTCTTCGAGATAATTACCCTCAAACTGATATAATTGACGCTCCAAATTAGACAGGTTTTCCTATTAATAAGGGACATTAACTACTGGATGATGACAGACAGGTAATTAAGTTATCTTGCTAACATACAACAAGAAATCGTCTTTGCCGAATTAATTCGACAAGTTTTTCTCGAGCATTAGCTACCGTATTCTCGGGCATCTACAACAAAGAGAAAAATAATGTCAATAATTTTCACTAGAATTTAATTCGCATAACTGATCTAATGGTTCATATTCAACATAGAGCACGAAGAATGGCAAGGTAAAAAGTCATGAAGCTGTACTAAACTCATTTAAGACAAATTAAGCTAATGAATAATAAAGAAGACTATTCGTTGTTATTAAAATTTGGAATAATAAAACTCGACGAAAACGAAAGTGGAACCAGTTTCTAGATCTACTATAACAAATATCAATTTAATAAAACGTTTAAAAATATTATTTGTGAATGTTATTTTAGTTAGAATAGATTATGTTGAATATACCGCTTTCTTATATAAATGAAATAGTTTTATACTGTTTTCCTCTTTACGAATAAATCAAACATTTGAGATTATGGCAATTATATAAAATTTCAGTTTATGAAGGAATTGTTTACAATTTAATTAAAGAACCATCTTTGCATACAGGAAGATAAAAAGAATAATTATTCTGTCAACACTCTTTTAAGCATAGATTATTTGTTCACAAAATGTCTGTCACACAAAATATGCTTCTAATTAGAAAAATGTTTGCATATGTATAAATTTGTATAAAAACTTATTATGCAACTTTTTTATAAAAATGTATGAATTGCCCATTAATACATTAAAACATATAGAGTAGATTTAAATATTATGGATATAAATGCACATTAAAAAGCTAATATTTTCCGAATGATAAATATTACCTTTAAATTTTTTGTCGTCGTAATGCATATCAATTCTCATAAAAAATCGGTTGCTTAAGGGTTTAGAAAGGTACATATTAACAATTTTGCATACTATTATTCTGAAAATGTTTTCCAAAAAGGCATTTATTTTTTGTCCTCAAAAAGAATTAGTTTGTTCATTGATTAAATATCAGATATTATTTTTTCATGTAAAAACTCTTTTACTTGTAACGAATATATTTTGACCATAAAAATTAAAATTAAAATATAAAATATTTTGCTTTTCAAACTTTTGATAGTTGCCAATTAAGAAATGTTTGATATTTGGACTTTGTCTGTTTGTTCCATTTGCCTCATGGTTCGAAGTTTTCTCACCCTTGGATCATTGTTCGTTTTTGCATTTATATGTGATGGAGGATACAGATATATCTGGTCCCTGTTATAAGCCATGTTTGTTTCTTTTTGGAAACGTTGATAAGTACGGAAAATTAGAGGATGAGTATGCCAGGGATGATGATCTCGCTTCCATTAATAATATTGATTCTGCAAATGTGGACGAGGTTGAAGCTACTGTTATATCTCTTGTGGCTGATGATTCAAGTAATTCTTCGCCAGTTTTAATTGAAACCAGTGAGATTTGTTCTGATTCATTTCAATCTATCGAGCCAGTGGATTATTACAATGAATCGGAATTGATATCTTTTCACGAAGTTGAAAATTCTGTTGAGGTTCGAAACGATGACGATGTAAGTTTTTTTTCAGAATTATTTTTTCATTTTTTAGGACCACTATGATAGTGATGAAGTACTACTCAAATCTACTGGCACATCAGCCCAAAGTGTGCAGTCCAAAGTCCTCATTTCAAGCGGTACAAAACTGTCTAGTGCTCCTGTTTCTCCCGCTTATGTTAAAGTCTTATTCACTGCTCCTCCAAGATCGCAGTCAGAACCATCGTCCCCTATTAGACCACGTCCTAACACCCCTTCTCCGAAACTCCATCACGTTGCTGAAAATCAGTCAGCAAGTGATAATTCTGCTTTGATTATGCCGCCTCCATTACATCCTGCTCCGCGCTATTTGCTACAGCGAAATCACTCAGTGAATAGTGAGCTAAATGGAGATGTCGATCTCATGACTCAACGACGTTGTCTCAACACACCACTGGGAAATCTTCTGCCTCCTGAGTATGCCAATGAGGATATAACCAAACTCTATCCCCATTACTCTACCAGTACAACCCCTATGTGGGGTAGGATTATGAATCTACCCTTTCCTCCCAAAAAATTCGATCATCTTAAACGCGAGCCTGAGTTGTACTTGGATAATGGACCGTCGGATTCTCCGGCTATTATGTATGCTTCGACTGAAGAAACTACCTCAGAAGGGTAAGTGGGACCCTTTTTAAGAGTTTGACATGAGCGGATAGGTTTTGCTTGGGTTTAAATGCGTATATGCTATATTTGTGTTCACAAGGTTGATATCCAAAGATGCTTGTCATATTGTTAATGAATCGATTTTCTCTTTTGTGTTTTTTGATATGGCAGGTATTCCACATTCACTTTTTTTAAATTAAGACAACCTTTTAGTCAATACAATCTTTATAAAACTGTGTTCTTTTCATAGTTCTTGGTAATCCTGAAATCCTAAGTTATTTTCCCATTGAACTACTTCAATGAATGTTCGTCTAGATTTACTGATTTATAAAATTGAATTTTTTTAAATAAATCAATAATTACTCACTGAACAATATAACTACATTAAAACATCAAGCGCATGTATTTTTTTATTTTTATTTATAATAGGCCTCACTTGATATACAATAATCTCTTGGATCTGGGTGAAATCCCAACCAAGAAGGAGCAATACGAAGAGGCTGATAAGCATGATGATATGCGAATTCTTCAAATATCCGCCGATCCCGACGAGAACTGTCTAGCCGGTTCAAATCGCTCCTGGTGGCATGTGGCCTTTTCCAAGCGCCTTGGTGAAATCGAGAAAGCCAACGATGGGCCCACAAACGACCCTAGCGCCAATGCTGAGTTGGGCGAGAAAAAGATCCCAAAAAAATCGATTGGTGGGATCGAATCTACCAATAGGGATACGCCGACTGAAACAAGTGCTGTTTTAGACGATACAAAATCAAACGGGTTGGAGTGTAAAGGCAAACCTAAAGTTCTGTAAGGGATGATTTAATGTTCTTGGTTAAATTTTTTGCCATGGATAGCATAGATAATCCACGACTAAATGGAAGCATTCATTTAAGCAAGGGGACGTTTTAGTTTTGTTTGATACCACGAATATGTGTTACTCGAATTCAGATCAGATGAGGGCATCGCTGAAGAGTTAGAGGCAGTAGTTCAATTGTTATGTTGGAATTGAACACAAAGAGGGCTCAAGATTTTTGTAAATTTGAAAATTGATTAGAATGAATAAGAATTTAATATGTAGTAGATAAATACATGTGTCCAATATATAATTAAGTTAAAAGCTGTATACTGCATAAAGCTTAGCACTTAGATTAAAGAACACGACGAAGAATCGATGCGCGAATTTCGGCAAGTTAGTCTGACGCATTCTCTCAAACCCAAAGAAATTTTACGTTACTGAAACTGATAAAGTCTGTTTATTAAGCAATTTACCTTTCATCATACCCATCTTACAAGTGAAACCATAGCTACAGTATTTAGTTACATCTCTGTCTATTATATTTTGCTTGTTGGCAATGATTTGGAGGTGAATAAACTCAAATCACAGTCCCATTGCCGAGTAGGTGTATTCAATCACTTTACATTAGCTCTAATTACTGCAATGAAGCTACTTGAAGAAAGGCCAACCCATCTAAGTTTATAAGTTCTCTCATGAAATGAATGAGCTTCCAAAGCCGGAAATTCCACAATAATCTTCCTATTGAGAAGACCAAGGGGTTTGTGGAACCACGTATACTTCGGCCGACTGCAAATAACCAAGAAGAATTTTCGAGGCAGAGGAGATGGCAACCAGCGTGTAAAACTTTAGTTTTGGCATAACAGCGCGCACCGATAGTCACATCCATGAACTATTTTTTTCTACACAGCATGCTCTCCCAACTTCTAATTGTGTAAAATAGCTTTAGTAATTGGGCAGCTTGAGATGAAGATTTTAGCCGGTTCACATCTTACTGTTCTTGCTTCCTTTTTAAAATTTTTTCTATCTTCTTTTTCCAGCTCCTTTAGAGAAGGTATTGCGAAATTCTGGTACGATTTATACAATGTTCCCCGAGATGCGGATGTCGAGAAGTGGGATGGCTGGCTGAAGAATGATCATCCTCTGGAGAGCTCTGAAGACGAAAAGCAATTGCCTAGTTTTGGAGGTATGCAGTTGTATAATGAATACACACACACACACACACACACACACACACACACACACACACACACACACACACACACACACTTGTCTACATTTTCTGACGAATTTGGGTCTTAGTAGAAAGAAGGTTTACTAGTGAAAGGTGCTACCAATGATATACCCTACAAGACTTCGAAGGAAAGAAAATATGGAAATATGAAGTGGCATGAGCACAACAGAAATTACTTATACTCTTCGATATTGACTAAATCCTCTTCCTTGTAGATCAATTATGCAAGTTGAAACTTGATTGTGTATGGTTAAATCAAGCACCTAGTTTGATTCCCAAGTGTCTTCTTGGTTTATCATGGCGGTCCTTGTGTCTCTTGTTTATGTCCCTCTTATGAGTTTACCTTAGTTGTTAAAACTATACTTTACTCAGTTAAAGAACAATCAGTAGTGTCTATTGAGGCACTGTCTAGAAATATAAGCGGGAGATAGTGCTTTCCGAGTATGTTTAATGCAGTTTTAGTGAATTTCACATCTTAAATTTAAGACACCGTACATAGGTTATAAATTCGCATTTGCTAGTGAGTTGCGTAGACTTAATGACAATGTGGTCTAATCGATCACTTTAACATGTTTGTGGCAATTGTGGAATGCGAGTATCTCGTTGGAGTATCCTCAGAACACCTTCCATCCACCCAGGTCAGATGGCGTGATCGCTTTTTCTAATATGCGTGGAGACTTCGAAACTGACTGTGTTCTTTAAAAGTTATTGATCCTCCAATTAGTCAGAGTGGCATTCCTCTATTTTAGAATCACTGCGGTGAATTTGGAAACTACTTGTGATATAGTCGTAGTTTGCCACAAATGGAAATAATTTGTCGACTTTTTGATTATGATGAGTTCGAATTCGCAAACCTTAAAACCTCATTTAGATTGCTCTTTATCCTGGCTCACTTCTTAACCCTTCATTTTAGAATTAAAAGCAGCGCTACCTGAATTTCCCTACAAAATTGAATTCCCCGACGTTTCTCTCAAGAGCATTAAGGAAGTAGCAGAGAAAGCATATGATGATGAGATTTTCCATACATATGAGCTCACACGATGGGAAAAGGAGATTATCTACGATACCCAGAAGTACGCTAAAAAGCAACACGCCAGTCTAATTCGCAATGCTGCAGACGCAGGCTGGGTTCCGTCGATTGAATGTCGCACAATGGCCTCCTTCATGGACACCTATCAGGGCATCTGTCGAGGAGTCCTCAGTAGTAAGGTGATTTCCGGCCAGCAGTCGGCTACAGCTTCAGCGGTTTCTACTGCGCATCACACTACAGCCAGTGGTATTACTGGTGGAGTACTTCAGAATGCAGAAGGCGGGGTTAGCCAAGCACCGTCTACTCTCCGCCCTTCGACTACTATGTCGACATCCAACAGCCCGTCGACTTCGAATATCCTCTACTCTATCTTCCCTGCGAATGTTTACCCCTCACTTAGGGATGGTTCCTGGGGAAATGCTATTATATACGATCCACAGTTGGCCTGTGAAGCCATCATGAAGCCCCATCTGTTGACACTTAATAAGAATGATGAAGACTGTCTTCTCGATGCAGTGCAGAATGATGATGAAATTGAAGCGGCTATGGCACAGAGTACCGCGAAGAAGAACAAACCTCAGCATGGGCAACAGGATGGTAGTCATGTGAATAAAGCCAGCTTTCATGTTACCTTCGGGTATGCTTCTACAAGAGGGACCCTCACGGGAGCTCTTGCTAAAGCTGAGAAGGGAGCTGAAAAGGTCAAGAGGATTCTTGGAAAGGCGAGTTATCTACTGTTTTTCTGTATATGCTCTTAATTATGTATAGGTAGTTAAGTAATAGATCTAATGTTATTTTGTTGCGGGGGGTTAGATGGTGTTTATTAATGGGGGTTAGAACGTGAGCTTCTCTTTTAAAGTGCTTTCTTCACTTAGGGGGAATAATTTTGTAGACTTCTGCGCTGTTGCAGTCAACCGTCATTTAATGAGCCTTTTATAAAGGAGATTTTGGCCTAGAATGTTAGCATTTTATGAAAGTTTTCCTAACAGTGGTGCTAACTCAAGGTTTTTAATTTTTGTTCAATATTTGATTGTCTGTTTATGTTTTCCCTTAAATTTGCTTTAATCCTAGGTCTCTATGCTGAGCCAATTGATTCGTTGGCTGAGAATATGAAATTGTTTATAATGGGTGCAATTTTTTTGTTCAATTTTGGGTGATTATTCATGAGACGTATTAAAATGTTTGCATGAACTTTCTAGAGATCTCCCCTCTGCTTCTTCTAGGAAAAAAGCTACTAAAATGCTACTATCCAAAACTGGAAAACAGATACAAACTGAATACGTCTATATCCCAATTAAGGTAAAAATTGAATTGCTTTCGAGGGGGTTCTGTTTCGCATAGTTTTAAGTGAATAATAAGTCAGAAAACCCTAGTCTTCACTTCAAAGCCCCTAATATCACGGAGGTGAACTCTTCCAGCTTTAATAACCTAGCCGGTGTACTGGCTAAAATGAATAATGGTTATTGTTAAGCTTCGCCTATTTGTCAATAGGCGATAAATTGTAGGGTCGTTGGTTGGCTTACTTTTGAACAAACTTATTATTCAGGTAATTTCTTGTTATTGTTGGAATCCAGCCCTTTACACTGTCTTGTGAAGCCAATCAGTTTATAACAAAGTGACTACATAACATTACAATCAAAGCAAGGATTAGATGACAAATGCAAGTGGAAGCGTGAAAATGCCAGGACTGTCAGTTTATTCTGACCCTATTTCCTTTTACTCTAGGTTGGTTTGTTGGCAGAAGGTGAATGGAACGAAAACAAATCTGACAGCGGTACTGAAGATGCTAACGGTACTGGTGAGGGAGGAGAGGATGCAGCAAACAATGATTTGGCATCGGCAGCCGCTGCAGCATCGGGCCTGCCTCCCAAGGATCCCTTTAACATCTCCAACGATGAATTCTACGCTGTTCGATCTGGTGGTCTCTCGGGTAGCCTTGCACGCTGTGGGCCTCTTCAACACAGCAATCCTGCTGTCGAACTTTGGCCTCCCTTCTTCCCTCCACAAAGCTCTGCTCAGATGCTTCGGCAGTTCCATCGTGTACCTATGAAAGTGTAAGTTAACTGTGACACCATTGCGTTGTAAAGTAAGTCTATTTTATACTTTTTATTCTCCCAAGCTCTGCTGTTAGGATATTAAAAGAGCTTTAATTATTTAGATTTTCTAGATCACTTCATAATTTTGAAAAAGTCGAATTCTTTTTCCACTTTATTAGATATACAAAAGGAGCTTCATCACAATACAACGTTCCAATTGCCGTGAACAATCTCACCAAACTTATTCAACGCAAAGCCAAGGACAGGGAAGATGAGAAATTGGCAGCGGGTGGTGGTGATATCTTCTTCATGCGCAATCCACAAGACCTCTCTGGTTGCGATGGTGACATTGTTCTCTTTGAGTACTCTGAAGAGTTCCCTCCCTTCCTCAATCAAGTTGGTATGGCGACGCGGCTGGTCAATTACTACCGACCTCTTGTACCCAAAGATCCCTCACTTTCCCCTGACCCCGCTGGAAATAGTACACCCCCTGACCTTCCCTACGGATCACTGGTTAATGTTGGCAGCACTGACTCTCCCTTCTTGGGTGTCATACGTCCTGGCGGATGTCTACAGAGTATGGAGAACAACATGTTCCGGGCACCAGTATTCCAACACAAAACCCTCCCAACCGACTTCCTACTAATTCGAAATAAAAATGGTCTTTACATTCGAAAGCTACCCATTGCATTCACTGTCGGTCAAGTGTTGCCTCTTATGGAAGTCCCTGGACCGAATTCCAAACGAGCTAACAACTTTGTGAGAGACTTTCTTACAGTTTACATTCTGAGGCTTTTCCTCAAGAGCAAGGAAACACCAAAGAGAATAAAAATGGAGGAGATAAGGTCAGCATTCCCCTATCATTCTGAAAGCACTGTCCGAAAGAGACTCAAAACTTGTGCTGAATTCAAAAGAACTGGAATAGATGCAAGTTGGTGGGTTCTGCGCCCAGAATACAGAATGCCATCGGAAGAGGAGTTGAGATATCTTGTTTCTCCTGAGGACTACTGTGCTTATGCGAGTATGCAAGCTGCTGAACTGCGACTCAAGGATGCTGGTTATGGTGAAAAGTCCCTCTTTGTACTAGAGGAGAATCAGGAAGAAAATGAAGAAGGTCAAGTAAGTTTTTATTATTACCTGTTTGTAATTGAGTTTAAAGAGTGCTTCATTTAGCTAATCGATTTGTGATCTACGCTATAAGTTGGCATTTGATATGCCGTATATTATAGAGGGACAAACTTGAGTATTAGCACAATCCGTTAAAGTGGATGATCAGCTTTGCTACCTAATTCTGGTCAACAAGAGAGGTGGTATGTGAGTTATTTATTGCAGCGTCTTTCGGATACCTTTCTACGTTAGATGTTAAAACTTTCTTCAACGGGCTGGGGAAGTTTCATACTCCCTCTTTGACATCGAGTTGTTTGTTCGATCTGTAGCTTTCATGTGTTTCCAGCACATATCCAGTGGTTTAGCGTTTAATGACCAGGTCTATCAACTTAAATGTTGCCGGTTCGTTTCTCATCTTGCTCTAATTACATGCTACGCCTTTTATCACATAATAGCCCTGCAAATGTGAAAAGGGGAACGCCAATGCAAAATCATTTAAAATTGTAAATTCGGGTGTATTCCTTCTTGAAATTCAGTGCATTTTAAGTGGTGGTTGAAGTATAGGATTGTAAAAGTTCGGACCAACACAGATCTGCGCCTTTACAAATCTATATCTGTAACTCCGAGGTGTGCGATAGATTTATCCTGGGCAGCGTATACTTATACGGCAAAAAGTCTATTATTCGGCAGTTGACTTCTCACATCATATTTCTATGACCCCACTCTATGTCGTATTCGACCAATTTCACAGTTCTCATCTTACCTTTTCCCTACCTTTGTGTGTATCTGTCTCTCTTACATTTGTGAATCACTCTTCTGTTCCTCCTCTTCACTTTTCTTACTTGTAATCCCCCCCCCCTATATGAGGCCTGAAGTCAGCTAAAGGGCTAATGATAATGAAATAAATAAACATCTGTAACTCCCATGCAAACAACTTAACCTTTAACTTTAACTAAACAAAGTACCACAAAATGTTCTAGTCAAGAGGCCTTTTGGTCAATGTGGTTCCAATGGGAGCTTGGATTAATGAGGAATAACTGACTTCAAGGTCGATAGCTCTGAATTTCATTATTTTCTTTTTTTCTCAATAATTGTAACATCGAAAAGTATAATCCCTTGTTTCTATCTTATATTTGCTACGGGTGTGTGATGACTAAGAGTGATGCTTTTCTATGCTCAATATGAGCATTGATAAGGACTTATCTATCTTTTAAGCTGTTTACATTGTCATAATTATTAATGCTTGTTTTAATAAATTCAAGAAATTTTCATCAACCTTGTAATAACTATAGTCGAAAACTATCTATTACTATTTATCTAGCCCAACAATACAATCTCGTTCTCCAATCCTTAATCTCTTTACAAATTCTCTGTACACGCGTGCTTATCTATTTCAACCTGCTGCAAATATCCGACAATTTTAACTATTCTTTATCTACTATTTCATCACTTTAGCCCAAGATGGAAGATGAGGTTCGAGCTGCACCTTGGAACACCACACGCGCCTTCCTTGCGGCACAACGTGGTGGATGCTTCTTAGAACTTCATGGTCCAGCCGATCCAACCGGCTGTGGCGAAGCCTTCTCCTACTCTAAAACCTCAGCCAAACCCGGTGCCCTTTTCCGCTTGGCTGGCGGTGAAGCTCGTGGTCTTCTCAAGCACAAAAATGTCACTGGTACCGATGCGGATCTTCGAAAATTGCGTCTTCGGGAAGCCAGAGAGATGCTGCGTGGTTTTGGTATCAGTGAAAGCGAACTGGCCACTTTTAAACGGTAGAAATAACTATTACTTTACTGTTATAAGTAGTGTATACAATTACGAGTTACAGCTTTCATTTCAATTTGGTTTTATTCTGAAATATACAAACAAGTGTTTAAAAATTTAGCATTTTTGCAAATTTGCAAAATTCTGCAAGCAAAGGTCAAAACTGAGAAGCCTCGAAAATGGAATAACAGCTGATTGTACATTCGAAGGTCTTTCTTATTGTACTGGTCTTTTCTCTTTTTGTCATTTTCTAATCTTTTCTTGATATCGTACTTCCGTTTTGACAGTTATTACAAAATATCTATTAAAACAACACTGTATTTTACCTTCCCTTTGGTACTCTTGAAGCTAGTTGTTAAGCTGAATCTGGTTATTTCAGAATATGCGATATGAAAGGCATATACTCGTTGGGTTTGAGGAGTGCCATTATGAATTTGTTTAGTATTTTTAGTACAGCAAATATTCTTTTCTTTGTTTTAATAAACTAAATCTTTGCCCAATTTGGGTGGATTAGTCACTATTCCAACCACATCCCTTACTTACTCTTATTTCAGAAAGGCAAAAAATTTCATATTATTAATTCTCGAGATTGGTTTTAAACACATGAGCATATGAACGACTCCATGTTGTTTGTATTAATTCATATTAGTCGTAATACATTTTGATAAATGTGCTCTTTTTCAGATGGGAGATTATCGACATGGTTCGATTCACCTCCACAGAACGTGCCAAACAGGGCGAGGAAGAAGACACTGCAAAATTTGCTCGTGGAAACCGTCTTTCAATGGCCGAACAAATCCGCTGCTACCGAGAAGAGTGCCAGCGTATATTTGATCTCCAAAATCGGGTTCTTTCCAACCCGGAACTCATTTCAACAGACGAGGAAGACGAAGAGAAGAGTTCCGATGATGAAGATGAGGACGGAAAACATTCGAAAACGACTATTGGAGGGATTCGAATCTCCAATCTTCCTTCGACTCAACAATCGGCGAAAAATGTACAATCCCTACTCTCAAATAAAATCACGTCTGCACAGTTGCATCAAAAGCAAGAGGAAGCAGAGAAGGAGGACTTAAAACGGAGCGTCGAGCTCGGAGTAAGTAACTTTATAACGGTGTGTTGCATTGGTCTGATCTATACTGTTCCTACAGTCCTACTAGGTTAAAGTATAGCTGCGTTTGCTCTAACCCAGGATCATGAAAGGATGGAAGCGTCGGTCATACGTTGGTTGGTTTATTAAGGAAATGTTCATAAACGATTTAATCAAGTTGGAAAGGGTTAATAGTTGCAGCAATGACGAGATAACATCCCTATACACCAACTCAGAAGCCTAATAATCGGTAAACTGGCATATTTCAACCGTTTGGTTTCGCTTTAAATATTCGATAATTTCGTCGAATTCTAAGTAACTACCTTTTTTTACTTAGCGAATTAAAAGTCCTATGGAAGAAGGGTATAAGCTTAGAAATAGCTGGAGCTTGCAACTATTTACTTAGTGTCCGTGAGCGATAGGTGTCGGTCTCTAAACATCCTCATCTAGTTAATAGGTAGACCAACTTTCAATTTGGTTTCATCGTTATTCCATTAATCTTACGACGTGTGCTTCTCTTTGGGTATCTAGGGTGCGGACCAGGTTCTAACATTCATTGTGGCTTACTATATAAACGTAACACTTCTTCCTCAAAATGCTGTTGTTCTTGCCATCGAAAGTAGCACAGATGTCTTTTCTAATTTTTTTCATGTTCTCCTCCTCCCCCCTCTCTCATCTAGAAAATAATGATGCGAAACAAGCGAAAACCAACCCCCCAGCCAGCAGCTTCAACTAGTATGGCGGATGGTCCTGTTGAAATTCCTAAACCGGTGAAGTACAAATACGGCTCCGAGTCCGCAGGCATTGTCCTGGACCTCCCCATTCCCAATCCCTCTCTCCAGAAAACTGTTCGTATAACGCGCGTTTTTCGCAAGGGGACTCCCGAAGAGTCTACTCAAACTGAGACCTTGCCATGGTCAACTCAGCTGGAAATTTACTTCAAAATCATCCAATCTAGCAATGCTGATCAGATCCAGGCTTTCATAGGATCTGATGAGGAGTTCAAAGAGCAGAAGAGGAAGGAGAAGAGACGCTTACAAGATCAGATGCGTCGACAGAGGAGGCAACAGCAATTCCTCGTTTCGAGGGGAATTTCTGGCCAGGGACCCTTAAGGGACGCCTCTGGTCGTCTGATTCCAATTAATAGACTTCCTGTTGTCACTGGTGGAGGTGTTGTTCAAATACCAGTGTCCTCTTCGAGAAGGAAGAATAAAGGAGGGAATTACAAAATGCGTTGTGGTGCTTGTGGTCAAACTGGTAAGTAACCATTAGTTTGCTTTCTTTAATCTGGATTTGGGAAAATTCTTCGTTGACTAACAATTTCTGGATAATTATTAAAATTGAACATTGCATTTAACTACCAAATCATATGTTATGTTCTGAAAACTTCTATTTGTCAGTTCTAGGATACTTAAGCTTTCGCTGTTTCAGGTCACATGAGAACCAACAAGGAGTGTCCCATGTATGGTCGAACTGATGCTACTGCCCCGTCTATTCAAGGAAGTGGTCGTAGTGGTTCTCGTCGATCTGGAGTGGATGTGCTGGCAGCACAGGATCACAAGTCGAGGGCGGCAGCTCAACAAATCGGTGGGTTACCGAAGTATGCTCCATCGATCTCCAATGATTTTCGAGAGGCCTCATCGAATGCTCCTGCTCCGCGGAGTATTGGACATTCACGTCTCTCGGGTGATTCGGATGATGGTTACGATGACGATCCATTTAGCAGACGAGATATGGATTATCCATTGGAGGATTCAAGAGTGGTAGGACTTCTCTTACTTATTTTTACCCCTCTAATTATTATTATTATTATTAGAATTTCAAAGTAGTGACATGCCGTGCATTTTATTGTAGTATTGTTAGGGATTTTACTTTTTTCATTACTCGACTCAAAAAGATACGAGCTATCGCTTTTCAAATGAGACTCATTGAATTTTAATTGTAACGTGAAGATGGGATTGATGTGTAATGTTTCAGCTACACCTCATCGATTATGATGCGGACATATTGTTCTCCCGGAAACTATTTGCACACTGTTGATAGCTTCGTACTTTAATTATCCTATCAAAATTCCCTTTAGGTGGGGAGATTTTTTGTATTTGCAGATTGGAATTGACACTGTTGGCTGCCAAGTCCATGTCAGTCCGATCTTTTGCGTTATGATCGATTTTTTTGCCTCGACTTTATCTAATTCCCCCCCCCCTCCCCCTCCCCCCTTTAGTTCGTCTTGGTACCGACTAACTCCAAAGGAGTTTGAGATGGGAATTAGTGTATCGCTTTTAACATTGGGTCGAAAGCAAGATCTTCTTCGTTGATTGTGTGATTGTCTAAACAACTCTCATTGTAAACGTCAAATTTCGTAGAATTTTAGTGATCAGAATGCATGACCTTGCGCGTAGGTGTAACATAAATAATTATAACTAGAGGCAATTAGCGACCCTTAAGAAGAAGTTAATATTCTTTACTAAGAATATTTGAGGGCACCAGTTAGTGATTTCATGAACCTCTTGACTAAAGGATCGCTAAAATGTGAGAGCGGTCTGAATTTCAGTTTGTGGTTTTAAATTTCTCCAAATTAAAATTTTTATTTTCTGATTTAGGCCACCTATTCCATTGAGAGAATTCCTCCGGTTAAAAACCCCTGGACAAACGTGAATATATTGTTTGCTTCGTTTTTATTACTGTTGCTTTTTTAATTTTTTGTTGCGCGCTTTGTTCCCTACCTGTAGTGCTCTATACCACTACCCTGTTTATCCCTTTGAAGCATTCAGCATAGAATATGAATCCGGTAGTGACCACTCTACGCTTCTCCGCCCCCCCCCCCCCCCCCCCCACCCCGATGCCCATCGGCACGCGCTCACCGAGCCAACAGAGATAAATAAGTACCAGAATGCAGTTTTCATCAAAGAGGTTCTGCTAGGTTTTCTCTATCCTCTGAATGAGTATTGGAAGACTTTTAATTACCTGTAATGTCCAATCCGTCGCTTGCATTTTAGAAAGGTGATGTCTTTATGAACTTCACCTGCTTGTGGTTGGTCGTCAGAAAAACTCGCTCTCCGCCACCACCTCTCTTGTTGGTTGAAATTATTCAGTGCGTTTGGTCACCGGTGATAATTGATCTCGTAGCCTTTTGATTTGACGGACTATTGATTATCTGGTTTTACCGATAATTGATTATCTTCTGTCATCTGTACATTTGTAAAGTCAGAATTGTTGCTAGCAGTAATAGTAAGGATCTAAACTTTAAATTTGGCCCAAATTCCGATTATTAAATACTCTGAGTTCTGCATCCTTCGGTGTATACCCACTGATCTGGTTTGGGGGACCTTAGCATGAAAACCAATTTAGAATGAGTCCATCAGAATAGCTTATCTACTCTAACGTGACTGCATTGTGTACAGTTAATTATGACGTAGTGGTTTCCCATGCTGTCTATACAGAGACTGTGGTTCATCAATTGGAATTATTGACCACACTTGTTAATACCGTTCAACAAAGAGTCAATGCACTGAAAGTTGGTCAAACAAGAGACTGTTTGCCTTTGTTCAACGGATCTGATTTACTGTTTTTGTTGCCGTTCATGGCTTCTCTGCTTAAATTTTCTCCGTCCAGCTGATTACTTTTTCGTTGTAGCATGACGATATCCACAATCAGCCTCATGATGGCTTCGAGGGTCCAGTTGGCAAGTTCAAGATAAGTAGACGTGTGTTGGAACAGGTGGAACCGAGCACTCCAAGAAGTCATCGTGGTGGTCGTGTCTCAACCACAGAAAAAGGCGGAGCTAGTGGAGGTGCAGCTCGTAGACGAAGTGCTATCCCTAGTGCAGCTGATGATGACTATCCAACAACGGCAATTAAACACAGGGGAAATAGACGACGTATTGATCCCATCGTCTCTATCAATCATATTTTTGAGGAGATCTACAAGGTGGGCTCTCACGTATTTTGAATCGTATTGTTGGAGTTACCTGTTATTGTCAGAGAAGTCTTTAAAGCCATCACCCTTCCTGTTTTTTCTTATCATTTTTTACCCACAGTGGAATAGTTGAAGGACAGGGGATTCCATTAATGCCGAGACACTAATTTGTTTATTTATGTCAATGGCAGGCTTCATGCTAGTTATCATTAGCCATTCTAGCTGACTTCAGGCTTCACAGAGGGGAAGGAACATCAAAGTAACAAAGAGAAGAGTGGTTCACAGATGTAGAGGAAACAGACAGAGAAAAAGGTTAGGTAAGGTGAGTATTGTATAAATGATCGAATATGCCATACAGTGGGGTCATGTTAGTCTGAAGTCAACTGCCAGATTATAAACTTTTTTTGCAGTATGAGCATACGCTGCCCAGAGTGCACCACGTGGTGGTAAGTCTATCGCGTACCCCATGTCGCTAGGCACTTTTGCTGGGAGTCTGCGTGACCGTTACAATGCCAAAGTAGAATGCCATGGGGGTGAGGCTTCATTTTGTTGTAATTCTAGAAGCATTATATTGACCTCTAATTCTTAAAGGATTAATTCATTTTCAAATGTTTTTCACACTCAACTTTAATGCTATGAAAATGTATCTTCTGAGTAAAATTCATGATCGCTATGAAGTGATACCTATCAACAGCCGCCGCTAATTTCAGTGACCATCCTGTTTCTGTCAATCCGTCCAAACTGGTGGGAAGGGGGTAGATTGCTGCTTCACTTAGTTGATCGATTACCAGGTACAAGTAGGAGAAATCTCTGTTCGAAAATCTAGTACCACCGATTCCTATTCCTTTCACAAAATTTTCCTGAGTTATACCTACAACGTCTATAGTACTTGATTCTGCCCTTTGTCAAACATTATTTTTCGTATCCTTTCGACAGGGTCTAATTTCAATTCAAGGCTCCAAGATGTTTATGCATCCAGTTAGTAGAAAAGACTTCCCCAACTACTACAACGTAATAGAGCATCCCATGGATTTGTCCCAAATTCGCATGAAAATCAACAACAATGTCTACCAAACACGACAGGAGTTCATGAAAGACGTGAATTTGATTCGAGAGAACTCTGAGAAGTTTAACGGACAGCACTCATCCTTCACAGAAATTGCCTCCAAGATGCTCTCCTTTTTGCTCGAGTCCTTCGCCCAAAAAGAGAATAAGTTGATGCGGCTGGAGAAATTGGCCAATCCACTAATGGATTCAGACAGTCGGGTGCGACTTGGATTCCTGCTTCAACAGGTTGTTGATATTATGCAGAACTTCCCCAATAGCCGAGCTTTCCATCTTCCTGTGGACAAACGGCGTTATACCGTGAGTGGAATTGGATAATCGTATAGTCTCTTTCGATATCTTACAGTATTTTTGATATTTAAATTAGTATTGAAGTCTACGTAAGTCTTGGTTCGTTATTGAGGTGCTGCTCCTTATTCAGTTCAATTTTGAGTTCTAGTAATTTTCCTAATAGAAGAACGAAATAAATTGTCATTATTCAAATGCGTTGGAAAGGAATCAATATCCTAATAGATCTTTCTGTCTGAGTTTATGTATGCTCATTTAATATGCTGACAAATACCCTAGGTGTTTCCTCGTATGTATCTCTTTATGTTGACGACAACTAACTTCTTATTCATCCAAACCTCCCATGATTTTACTTATCCTCGGATTGGTTATACACAATCGAGTGAATTTGGCACTGGGAAATTTTGCCTTCATTTTACTCTTTTTGCTCGAATCTCTCCGCGAATGGATTCATTAGTTGATTTTTATCAATGCTAAAGTACTCTTTCCCAAATCTTCCCCTCCCCTCCCTCCCTCCCTGCGTCATGTTAATTCCACATCAGCCGTATTACTTAAAGCTGTTGCTTCTAGTCTAATGATATATTGTCCCCTACTATAACCCAGGCTGTTCAATGATGTACACTTTGACTACGGTAGCTCCAACAGTGAAAGTGGAATGGTGTTTTTTAACACAGGTAACTATATTTTCCTTTACTTGACTACTTAGTAAGTCTTTATTATGTAGATCGGAAATAAGGAGCAATTGAGCAGATATCTGGTTTGCCGTTTAAATAGCCTACCATTTCTGTTCACATAGTTTTATGACATTCACTCAAGTCTTTAGAAGCATTCCATTAGGCTTCCTATCCGTATAATGTTGTGAGCGCATTCTTAGTACTTCCTTGTGCTAATTATCCTAGGTTTCCTCTCAGATTCACTTTCCAAAGCTAATTAAAAATGTGTTCATCTTTGTTTGAATTTTTATTTTTTGTGGGCATCTTAATAAGTTGTGTGAATGTCATTACTCCTGTGGGAACGTAATCTACTGTGCCATAATTTGTTTGGAAGATTGTTGAAAGGTTGCATAAAGTACCAGTTGTACAAAAGGTCCAATTTTGCACTCCTCGTTTTGATTGCTCAAAATCGTAATTTCTCTCTCTCTCTCTCTCTCGCATGCGTGTGGTGTCACGATGCGAAATAGTTAATGAATCCATAGCAATGAAAGAATTAAATGCAGCAGCACATGAAATGAAGCCTCTTTTTCTTGTCGCTCTTAGGACTACTACGTAAAGATAGCCAATCCCATGGACTTGGATACCTTGAGACAGCGATGCAAGTCGAATCGGTACAAAAATCGCGATGAATTCATGAAGGATGCTGAACTCATTCTTTCCAATTGCATCCAATACAACGGACCGGCGAGTAATCTCACCAGCATTGCTACCAACATGCTGGCTGCTGCTAGGAACAAGCTGGAGGAACAGTGCGAACTCCTTGATGTGGTTGAAAAGGATATTTTAGAGTACGTTTAAGTGAAATTTTTCCAAATTAGCTTTTAGTTTATTCCTACGTTTTTTAATTCTTTTAATGGAACATATTGGAATGTCTGTAAAGTCTCCTCAATTTAGCATGATTTCTCTGCACGACAGTGAACTTTTATGTTTCTAGGAATTTTTAAGCATGCAGATTGGTAAGTTACTTCATACTTTTCGAAAACCAAGTAATTTGAGTGTCTCTGCTTTAAATTCAATTTGAAAGGCACTTTCCAACACTCATCTTGGGTTGAGAGGTGACATCGTTGAGCCTCTTTTGTTAGAATTTTCACTCCATTATCACCCCTTTATTAGCAAGATATATTCCTGTGGGCTTCGAATTCATGACCTCCAACTTCGCAGCGAAACACATTAACTATCTAACCACCGGCGAATGAATCTATTTCTTGCCTACACACATACCATGAGTTTTCGCTTGAAATTCGATTTGTAAATAGGCGTTCTCTTGTAATTTCTTCATCAAATTTAAATTTCATTGAAGAACCAATAATCGTGGCGTCTGCACAACGCTGCTTCATTGTCTTTTTATCGATTTGGACAAATAAATCCCTAATCATCTGCCAGGTTATAATATGCCGATGATTTGTTGCCCTCTTGTGCGTTTAAATGTCCGTAGTCATTTACGAGCCACTTCCATCTGTCCTTGCGCACAAAGAACTTGGGGATATTTGAATCGGTTTTCTGTGTTCCATGGAATAAGTTTGGTTACCGGCTCTCGATATCGCCGAATATTTGAATAGACTGAACTCTTTGTTGTGCATTTATTTGTTTTCCCTCTTCTAGCCATTTGGAAGATTTAGAGGGCGAAAAAGCAGGAGGCGGTGGCGATGCAGGTGACCCTGGACCTTCTACATCTCGAGGGGCTTGGAAGAGGTCAAAACTTGAGCATTCGGATTTCTCTCTTCCCGGTGATGAGTTGACTGCTCCAGAAAAACGGCCCAAAATGGCTCAGGATGATCTTGATGGTAATTATATGCCTTTTTAATATATTTGATGTCATTGAATGTATTTATTTCTTTAAACCCATCCCGTTAACAGAAAAATCGTACACAGCCAGTCCCCTAACAAATTATACCCATGATGAGTACTTCGAGGAGCATCGTTCAGAAGCCAGTCATCGACAACCACTCTCTCCTCATGGACCCAGTACTTTCGCCGATGAGGACAGTAGAGTAAGTTTATTCTCTACTTCTACTAATATTCTAATTTATGGCACTAATTTTGTTCATCTCTAATAGTTATCATCTGCCGACCACACTAGTTTGGGTCTTGCACCAGAAGATTGCCAAGTAGCAGATGCCCTGAGACTGAGTTCCGATTCCGACGACGATGACGGTGATGAGTATGATCAAGAGGGTGGTGAGTTAATGTCAATGGACGACACATTCATTGCTGCTGCAGAGATTTCAAATCAACACCATCAATATATGGTTAGCATACCAGCGAATTTTAGTGTTTCTACTGAAATGGTTTAAGCAGCTGTTATATTTTACTATTTTAATTTTGACAGTCTGATTTGGATGACGACTGTGCAAATGATGGTTACCAGTCTCATTCGATGAATGGATCCCATTCTCAAATGTCTATCGATCATACTGCAAGTGGTGGTGAGGAGGAAGACGTTTCTAATCAGAGTCATCAGCGAGTGGAATTCTTTATTGGCAGTGATGAGGAGTACTCGAGTTCGAGGTAGTCGTGGGGGATCTAAAATCTCTTTACAAAACATGATGTACATATATGAATTTTCCTAACGTGTACCAGATCTCTGTATAAAAGTATGCAATTTACAAATTTTATAATAAATCAATTTTACAACCCAATGTGGTTTTTTTGGCTAGTTTAATCCGGTAATATTCCGCTGTACATACTTTTATCAGTGTATCGTTAGCATTAGAACAGGTAGACAAAGTATTATGAGTACTTGCATATCCTTCCCCATTCCTCACCATCTGTCTACACACTCATCCGTATTTTCCTAGAAGTATTTATTTATTTCAAATGGAAGGCGCTTTGGTAGCTACCATTAGCCCTTTAGCTGACTTTGGGCTTCCCAGAGAGGAGGAGAACATTAAAGTGGCAAAATGTCGAGAGGTGGGCAGAATTATGATTAACAGATGTGGAAGAGACAGACAGACACAAAGGCAGGGAAATGGTAAGATAGGTACTATGGAAGTAGTCGAATATGATATACAGTGGGGTGCTGGTAGTTTGAAGTGAGTAGTCAACTACCATTTAATAGACTTGCCGTATGAGTATACGTTGTCCAGGGTGCACCACATGGGGGTAGGTCTATCACACACCCCATTTTCCTAGAAGTAGGGTATTTTTAAATCTACCTGACGTCCGTTTACTGAAGTCTCCTATATCGAGTAGTTATAGGCATAAGTAAATGACGTTTTTTGAGTTGAATCACAGGCTCATACAAAGGAGGAGGAAGAGAAGGGGGAATGATTTGACTTATTTATTTTGCCTTCTTTCAAGGACATGTGGTATGAATGTTGGCTTTATTAATACACTGCATCCAAAAAGGCAAAATGTCACAGCGATCCTTTCTGTTCGTTCACTTGGGATTAATTGTCGCTAATATAATCACAGGGCAATATTTTAGAGAGGAGCGTTTCCAATATTACGGCGGTTAGTGTGCATACCAATAACCACAAGCTACAGTTTAGGTACCCGTTCAATGGAAGCGGCTACAAAATCATTCAAGAACTTTACCAAATATACAACCTTAACTTTCATTGAATAATACACAACTATGCAGAGTCATGTGTAATCATATTTATTGAAAGTGGACCCTGTTTTGGCTGTCAGTACTACAGGATTAAGAAGTTTTGAGAAGCGTCGCTCTTCCATGCCTCTACGAGCTCAGTCAAAACACGGAGGAAAAGAGACACTGTTGCTTGGATACTTGTATTTAGAAAGACCAATTGAAGTCTAGTAAATTGAAAAGTGCGTGGATAGAAGGTACGGAATCGAGAGCTAAAGTAGCTTTAATCCCAAGTGTAGGTGCTTTGCCAGAGTGACCGAGTTTAAGTAGATATCCCTTTATAGAACCATCGGTCTTCTGTAATGCCACCAGGATGCAACTTCCATTCATGGAAGGGAAGACCCAGAAGTACCAGAAATTGTGAATTAATGAGGGGGGAGGGAGAATTCAAAGCTATGGAACGAGGAATTAGATAGACGGGAGGGGAGACAGCACCGTGTGAGGACAATCCGGACTATGGGAAACAGAGAAGAATGAAAGCAAAATGGGGACACAATAATCGCTAAATAGGAGCAAATTAAAAATTACCAATAGAAAACATGGTTTGAGCTCGAGCGCAGAGCCGTTATGAGAGATAACAAACTATTGAGCACCTATTTGTAAAAGTTCAATAAGTGGTAAAATCGTAAGAAACTTTAGTGATCAGTTGCAAAAGCATTCTACGTTTACTTGCTTATTTAAATCACTGGAAAGTGGAATCTATGCCTCATTTTCTATTTGCTACTTCTTTACGTTGACAGTGCCTATGGGTGTGTCCCTTGGCTACTCCAAACAATATTTTTACAATTAATATAATTTCCTTGGTTAGCGTTTTGAATTTATTGGCAGCCCATTGCATTAAAGATATCATTTATTGATAGTTAGTAGCATATTCCTCAAATGACAATAGAATGATTACAATATTTACTGGGGTCCAAAAACAGAAAAGACTTCCATAACCACAATGACGTTTTTAAATACTACAATTAGTTAAAACGAACAAAGAGATGAATAATGTTATGGTTCCCTGGGCCTTCACTGCCACTCCACCCCTTCCCTCCCCCCACCCCCGTCTCACACCTGAAAGCAGCATTTTTAAAAACTCATCATGGAGTGTGGAGTAGCATATAAGAGCCTACTTGCTGAGAAACACCCATTCGGCTATTTTGCGGTTGTAATTAGATTAAACCAGTCCCATCTACCTCACTTCCACAACCTGATTGCTTTACACGACCCACACAGAACAAACCGCTGTGCACAACAGCTCGGAGCAAACTCGCAAAGAAACTACCTTTCTGTGGGTACTTATCAATTTTTTTAGTATATGAAGAACTCTAGTTTTCAATTATTCAAAAGTTAGAAGTCTTTGCATATGATTTTTCTTCAGTTTCTACTTCTTCATCAGACAAATGTGCCAATGGAACATGTGTGTGGAGATGAAACGAGTCAACAATGCTATTTGACCTACTTTTTCCCGATATTTGTTGGAACTAATTTTATACTTCATGACCTTGCCCTTCTTTCAATACAACACAATAAGCATAGTTAATTTGCATTCCATGTGATAACTGGGTTGGGTATTAAGTGAATGACATTAAAATCGAAAGATTATAAGATCATATTTAATTAAGATGATTCTGAACGAATTTTTCGAAATACATCCACATTTCGTTTTAACGGCCCTAATAAATTTCATGCAAAACTCCTACTCATAATTTCCACAATGAATTCCAAACGATTCAAGAAGTTGTAATGGAATAGACATAAAAGGGTATCAAATGTAGCTATTGTGTTATGTAAGCCCTCCCTATCTCATGAATGTTAATTAAATTACAATTTTTTAAGATAGCGAGATATTTCATAGCTATTTTGCAGCGAAAGAAAAAAACAGAGATATTTAAGCATTAATCTGCACAGCATCAACCCTATTAATCTGCTCGCCCGACATTCTTTATCATCCAACCGCCTCTCTCACCCTTTGGAGCATGCACGTCTATTGCTCGCATTTTTGACAATTATGAAAACCGAGTTTGAGCACGAGCCGCACCAAATACAGCATTTCTAACCCTCTAAACAGCTATTTATGAGGTCTTAGGTATGACTGGGTATTCACATCATGCGTCTTCTCATGTTCTCATTTTAATTGGATTGATGGCGTCTTGTCATCTACCCCACAGCGGAATTTGCGATACTTAACTTTATCAGAGGAGATTTCAATGAGTCCTAATTTTATGACCCGCCTGTATTCAACTATGGACCCACGTTTACATATCGACCTTATCTATACTTCTATCTGTTAGTCTTTGGGCTTTAATTTATCAATTTTTTCCGTTGTATAATTCCGCAAACTTCAATCTAACGCAGTGCTCCTATTCGTTGAAGATTAAGCTGGCGAATGTTCACCATTCTATGATTATTTCGATATTTCCACAGTTCGGTTCTGTATTGCCAGGTTCAAAAACTCATTTGTGGGTAATGAACAACGTTAGCTAACCTACTATTCAAGAGAAACATAAGAAAACCCTCCACTAAAATGTCAAAAAGTCGCTATATATTACTAATTATAGCATTTACGTCAAAAGGTGGCATGGCTTTCATTTGGGTCGCACGTGCTAAGGTCCGAGGACGTAGTGTAACAAATTATGGCGGGGTAGTGGTTTGACAAATTGGGGTTCCATTCGTTGAAAATGAGGTGGGAGTAGGGGGAGGGGTGGGGGGGGGGGGGGGGGGGGGGGCTATTGAAAGTCCAAAACAAAGACAGAACTTTGTTTATAGTAAAAGCATCAAGCCTAATTAGAAGGGGTTATTTGAACAGTTACTGGACGTGGAATCAAGTCGACAAATGAGGGTGGTTTAGACATTTGAAATCACTGCCACCATTTAACATACGTTGATATAATTCGATTATTTGGTAGAATTGGTGGCAAAGTTCAGAACCTCAAAAAGTGGCATTTGTATTTACTATCTCGCCCCTCTCTCTCTCTCTCCCTCATGAGCGATAGAACAAGCAAGAATGTGCTCACTTGCTCTCCTGCACTCTAGGTCCTGAAAGGTTGTGAGTGCAGAGCCAAACTCGCCACACCACCTGCGTTCTCTCTACTTTGGAAGTGGACTAGCTATTTATTTAGGGATTATATCAGAGGAATCCTCCAGGGGAATGTTACAATTCTCTGTGTTCCTAGACGGACTACTAAGAGGATTGCTCAATTTTAATCAAGGGCTAACTTTGTGTGCACAAAGTTAGAGACTAGGGTACACGCAATAAATCAGTTTCGAAGTGCCTAACTTTTCTTTCTCTGAGACAAAAAAATAAGTTATTGCTGATATGGCACGGCCTTTAATAAAATTGCCTTCAATTCGCCTATCAACGCTGTTCTTTAATCTTAACTAATCTACAGTAAATGGAGCTCCAAATTTTTTCGATTTAGTGCCATTATCAATGCTAATGAAGTTGTCAAGTAAATTGTAGGATGGAGGGTAATTATAGTGCAATTAAATTGGAAAACTTGATGAATCCTTTGATCTTATTAGGACTTCATGGTGCTACCGTTTATATGATATTGTCTTTACGACACCACTCCTATCCCCTCACCCCCCCCCCCCCCCCCCCATCCAATCAACGGTATCGGAAATGCAAGAATATTCCCATCATTATTAGATTTTAAATGCATACGATCCACATCAGCTGGTCATAAATGACTGTGTCGGATGCACAACACTTGGGCCTTGTGGTCGACTAATTGGAAACGCCGACAGAAATTATGCCTATTCAAATTAATGCCAAAATGCACAGAAGAGTCGGCGCTACACTTTCATCTTAATTAATCTGATGCACTCTCCATCACTGCTTTCTCCGAGCAGTGCAATTTAATGAATGACGTCTGGAATTTCATTGATTAACTTGATATTACAGTATAGAGCCATGTGATTGAATAGAGTGCTCT